CCTGCGGCAAACATAATGGACAGCTAATCAATCAATCTCTTCACCTGCCTGATTTAATGGTATTTTGAGATAAGAGAGTGAAAAGGCATTAATTAAGAGACGAAAACTCTGAAACCTTTGCTACTTATTCGCGAGGATATTAAAACAGCCAAAGCTTATCCGCTGTTACTTTGCTGAGAGAAGCCGTCAGCGTCAACGTCTTTACGAGCAATTGGACGAATTACATCTCTTTGACAAGGTTTGCAACTGCCTCAGTCATGAATGCGACTGGAAACTCCACTGGCTGCTTAAGGGCAAAATGCCTGTTTACAACTGGTGAAAGAGTGGCCATTGTTATCTTCTTCAGTGTGATTTTCATTGCCTCTTTGGTTGGAAACTGCATCTTATTCGTGGCAATTATTCGCAATAAGCGACTGCGACGGAGCTCCACGAACTTTTCATTCCTCAGCCTTAGTTTCGCGAACATCCTTATCACAATCTTCTGCATTCCAGTGTTCACAATCGACGCGTTTATCGCGGAGAGTTGGCTCTTTGGATCGATCGGCTGCAAACTTGTCAACTTTCTCCAAACAATGTCGATAAACGCTGCTATTTTGACCCTGCTCGTGATCAGCGTGGAGAAGTTTTTGGTCGTTTATTTTCCATTCCAATTCCGATCTCAACGAACCAAAGTTCGCTACTTAGTGTTTTTCGCTTGGATACTTGGCATCATCCACACCTCGGTATATCTCAGTTACAGAAAAGTCAGAGAAATCAATGGAGTTCAATGGTGTTTCGAACAGTGGCCGTCGCCTGATACACGTAAAATCTATATTGTTGCTCAGGTATTTGTCCTACGTTTTGCGCCCCTCATGTTCATGATGTTTCTTCACGCGCTGACTATAAAAAGAATTAAGGCGAGATTACAGTACCGTAGATCCAGCGATGAAGAAGGAAACTTTAATGGACCCGGCACGGTACAAATCAGCTCGCACGCACTGAAGATCCGAAAGAAAGCTGTAGTTATGCTTGTTGTAGTTGTTACAACTGCTACGGTAACGTTGTTCCCTTTCAATATCCTGGCCTGTTGGAGAGTACTCGCTAATCCCAAGATTACCGATCTGTTCTCTGCCAATCTTGTATACTCGGTCACGTTGTGGCTTATGTACTTCAACAGTGCTTCCCATCCCATCATCTTCGGCCTGATGAGTACAGAATACCGTAAAGCTGCCAAGAGCTCCTTTAGATCTTTTGTTCGGAAATCCTCGGCGCCAAGCCGGATTGTCGTTTCGAGCTCCAAAAAGAACAAAGAGGAACCCATGATTATGACAGCGCTAGCCTCTGGTTCCGCTTAAACTTGAGAAAAAAGGGCCACCATTTTATCAAGATTAAATTGCAAAAACTTTATTTTAAAGACAGACTAAAGTGGATAGCTCGGGAAGGTTACGAAACTCCAAGTAAAGAGAAAGTTGTCTGTTGTAAGGCTTAGGTGAACGCCTTTAAGGTGATTCCATGTATTGTTTGATCAATTTATTTTAAGATCACGCGAAAATTATGGTTGAAAAAGCGAGAGACATTTAAAATATTGAAGGTATGATTGTATATAGCTTAGATCTTGTCATTATTTGCCCTTGTATTTATTTCTCAAATTTACCATCCAATAGTTCTGAAAGGAATTTCTTTAAAACAGGCATTACTGGATCATTTTGTTTATTAGATCATGGAGAAAATTAAAAAGATCTCATTCTTTAATGAACCATAAAACAGCTTGTGATAGCTGCGAGACACAGTTCTACCAAATGACCATGAGACTTATTCTTTTATTTCAAAGACTAAACAAGAATAAAAACAGGAAAAAATTAGGGTTACAAACGTGCTCCCTTTGTGGTTCTATTTTAATATTTCCCTATCAGATTTAAATCATTATCATTGACAACAAAAGAGCCAAGGAAATTATATGGAAGTTTTCAATAAAGGTTCAGTCAATGTTTGAGCGCCAACCATGATCTAAAATGTACCCGGAACTTCGTAGACGATGCATGCATCAGGGCGGGAATATTTAATTTACTATCAATGCCGGAGGATGAATGATGCAACATTCATTTTCTTCCCTCTTTCTCTTGTTTATTTTTTTTTGTGTGTGGGTGTTTTGTTTTGTTTTTGCTTTGTTTATTTCAATCAGTTGATCTCAGTTTTCCTCCATTTGAGTACACTTTATTTATGATGTAACTAAGTCACTGTCATGAGAATTAACTATCGCCGGATGATTTCAAAAGAAATGTATTTTCATTTTTTTTTTTTATCTTTATTATTACTATTTTTTTTCAGTCATTTATGTGACGCAGAACACTGATTTGTTGAAGATTTTCTACCATAATTGATTTCAGTTTCCTAATGTTAAGGCTGGTACGACACTCTGTTTGTCCCTTGTAAAGTGTAAAGATAGTTGTCCATGTAACCAATCAACATAATCGTTAGAGATAGTTAATTAACGTGCGCATATGATGGTTGTCACAGGTCAGGAAATAGCCAAAAAAAAAAAAAAAAGGTTTACGCCGTCAACTTGAAGTCAGGGAATTTTCTACCGAAAAGAGTTATGTAGATTGAGTTTTTAAGGTCTCAGCTCAAACAGGTTTCCTGTCGTTTTTGTAGAGGCCACTGTATAATTGCACTCTCGTTATCTGTTATAAAATATATCAAAGAGAGAGAAAAAAAAAAGATTGTCGCAATAGGAAGTTGAACGCTTCTACTGTCTATTACATTTTTTATCTATTTGATCAACGAAATTTTATTGACTCCTTGAAAAGAAAAGTAACTTGATGCCTGTGGCGGCCACATACATCTGTAATGTCAAGGTTAGGGTAAGTGGTGCTCTTACGTTTGAAAAGTGTAATAAAACAGCACTTGAAGAGCAACATGCAGACATATCTTATAGCCTGTCTCTGTGTTCACCTGCAATCTGAAAATCATTGTTGTTCAACTCTAAATAGTTTTCTTGCTTCTAACTTGACTCAAGGAATAAAATGAAATAAAGTATGTGCTTCTGTGACTTCATTTCGCTTTGAGCATGAGGTAAACATTTCGTTCTGATATGTCACAACTCGTCTCTGGAATATAGCTAATTCTGCCGCGGAGCTCTGAGTTTTGAGAGCAATTTTACCTTCGAGGAAACGAAAATAGGATTTGATTTCGTACATCACCGCCCCCGTATGATGCAGATCTAAGTCTTGCAGTGTGATTTCCCCTCTACTTCCGACTGAGAACAAAGGAGATTCCAGGATTTTTTTATATTCCAACGCAGTTTTTCTACAATTTTGTAACAACTACACAAGGCCATCAAGAGATTCCAGTTGGGTGGAAACTGATTACAGTAACGTTACTAAAAGGTAATCGAGGTGGCTTACTGAATGAAGAACGCACTCTTTTGGAAAATGGTCCTTTGGTTCCCTAAGTTGTAGATCTTCTAGTGCTTTTGCCTCAAATATGTTGTTTAAACCTTTTTCATTTTTTTCAATTCTGCTTATAATGGAGAAGACACACATCAAACATTTTTCCTTTGGATTTTTTTTGTGAGTGTGTGTGGGGATGTTTGCCAAAGTTGAAAAATTTTGCTGCGGGATATTAAATTCAATGTCTTGAAAATATATATACTGTTTATTCTGCTTTACATTTCGTTATTCCATCATCCTATTTTTTTCTATCAAGTTGAACGCCAATTAAACCATTCGATCGCAAAACAGACTCAACTTAACGACGATTAAACAAATCCTGAAAAAAATTGCCCCAAAGGAGATTCCAAAGGGCCTTACAGTAAGAGACAAAGAAAACCATGAAAAATGTTTTTTTTAGGGAAAGATCATTATTTCTTTTGATGTATATTCCCAGCATGATAATGCAGCTTTCAACTTAAATGTTTAAAAAAAATTTTACCTTTAACAAGAAAACTAAGAATAGAAAAATCATAATTGATTCTCCGATAATTTTTAAAATGACTATGGCAGCATTACTCATGTAATCAACATTTCATTTTCTCTGTCTCTTGAAGTCTAATGTCATACTGCTTGTTTCGCTGCGTCTCTATGTAGACCTCGGCATGTCCTGGATGATTTCATTCGTTTCCGTATTCTAAGTGGTACTGAGCCATTCAATCTCGCAGAAAGCCTTTCCTGGGTTTCCACTCATTTCTTAAAAAGTGTTCAATAATTGTTCACCAATTCAAACAGGCCATCTTACAAGGAAAATACGATGATTATAATATATACACTGTTTGTCCAATTAAGTTCACAGAGTCGAATACTGAGGCGCTCTTTGCGAAAGTTATTAATCTAAACCTGAATCTTACCATCTTCCATATGATAGATAATTTTATATTTATGCAAGACTATACAGGATAAGAACATTTATTTGATCAGACTTTCAAATAAATTTAATGCAAAATTGCTGCCAACCAACTGCTCACTCGCTGTTTCCGTAGCTTGTCCTTCGAGTTACTGCCTCAGTCATTTGTCAATGATGTATCAGGGAATATCTCCTCCCAAGTAACCAGATTGGAGGAGATATCACCCTGATTGAACAAAGATATGTTAAAACTCAGCACCCAACATAATTGCCATGTTTGTGTGGCTTAGAGAGAAAACTTTCCAAAAACATTTGGAATAATTGCCCTTTAATTATTTTGCGAATGCATTTGAGAATATCTTCTCCCAGTTGCCAGATGGGAGGATATTCCATTCTAGCTGGTTTTAGGGAGTGATGTGGGAAAACGATATGGATAATTTCAGCACCCAATGTAACTTGCATCTTTTTTTTAGATTCGATGGCGCAATTTCTTGCACAACTCGAATAATTACCCTTATTCACTTGTCGATGTGTTTGAGATTATCCTCTTTAAGGTGTCGCTTAGGAAGATGCACGGAACATAATTTTCCGAACGACTTTGGCACTAATCTAGCAAAAGACGTAAGTGCAATTGTTTTGTGGGTGAAAAAGGGGTAAATAGATAAAAAAGGTTCTAACACACCTGAAATTTTGGAATTGTTTATTTTCAGTCGTGACGTCACTGTGCCTTATTTACAATGCTTACGATAAGCGAAAACTAAACTACTTTCCATTTCACCGACAAACAAACAAATGATACAATTTAAAATATCACGCCCCAATAAAATAAAAGTAAGCTAAACTGTCCGTCTGGGCCTTAAACTGTCCCTCTGGGCCTTGGAATAACAAAGCCTTTTTTTATGATAATTCATTGAATTAGGTTTCTGTAAATGTCCGGTCCATAAGTAAATAAAATGTCCTGTCCATAAGTAAATAAAATGTCCTATTTCGCTGAAATCAAACTCAAATCATTTCTGCTGACAACTATTCAAGAATTCAATCTTTATCTTTATTTTCACATTCTTTTTGAAGTGTCTCACGGGCGTTTTAGAGCGTAGGATTTCGTACGTTCCGAATCTTTAGCTCTCGTTGATCGCTGTTGATGGTAAATGTACTTTAAAATGAACTTTTGTTTTTAAGAGAGCATTAGAGATACCTTGCGCAACACAGAAAAGGCGTCGAACCGAGATGAGCATGTGAAAGTAAACAAAAAAACAAAACTCCAACGTTCCTCTCTCCTTCTGTTCTTTTCATTTCACACGTTCTTTAGTGATGCTTGCGGTGTTTACGAAAGATGTGGTGTTTCTTAGTTCCCTTAACTGGTCTTGGGGCGTGGTGACGTTTTCCGTAAGAATAAGAAGGCTGGTTATACACTGTGTTGCAACAGGCAGGAGTACACCCGGTAGGTGCGCATGTACTGGGGCAGTTGTTTGGGCACGTGACGGGCATGGGAGGAGGAGGAGGAGGAGCCTGAGGATAGTAGTAGGGCTGTTGGTACTGCTGGCAGCAGCTGGAGTAGCAAGAAGGAGCACAGGCCGATGGGCATGGAATTTGGCAGATCGCAGGGGGTATTTCCTTGTAACATGCTAAATATTGAATGAAAAATAATAAATGTTAAATACGTATTTTCAACAGCCGTCATAGAAGTTATTTAAGAAGAGAATATTTCGTATCACCAAGTAGAACATTCAAACTTTGTAAGGAAGCGCGAGGTTAGAATCTTACCCAAGTATACTACGAAAATTTTATGATATTTTCCCCGGCAGAATTATAGCAATACATATCTCAGACAAAGACAATTTTTGGTCGAAAGACCACACAAGTAAAAAATTTCAATAATGGTTTGTTTCGCTTACTACTCTATGATAAACTGTCCATATCTGAGGCAGGTCGCAATAAGAAAGAAGGGATAATTGTGTCATGACTCACCTGCCTGACCAAGTTTTGGAGCGACAGAAACTGGAGTCAGCTTTCCAAGCTTGCCGGCGGTTATGGCTTTAGTCAGGTTTGGAAGATGAGTCCCGTTGTCTTTGAACTCGACCACAAAGTGTACAATGGTCTTGCCATCTGGGGCTTTGCTGTTTTAGAGAAGATTAGGTGAATATTAGCTAACGTTGCTCATGGTTATCATGATTTTACATAGAAGACGAAATATTCACGGCAGAGGTATTATATTATTATATTGTTATTATATTGTTATATTAGTATTATATGGGGAAATTCTGGTTGCTTCTAATTTAACTGGAAGTAAGCCTCTCTCACTGAACTAAAACATACCGTACTTTATGTCGTGGTAACTAGTTTTTTCATCGTAAATAAGGTAAAGGTTATTTTAAAAATGCTTTTATAGGGATAAGAAAGGTGATGTTACTAAATTTCTTTGTGTGCTATACACGTATTAATAGCGGAAATCATCAAGGAAGCCGTTGGAAACTCTAAATAAACACAGACAACCTCTTCAAGCGCGTGGTTGAGTGACATATTGGTTTTTACTTTTTAATTTGATTGGTCGAAAAGGTGGTGCGCAGTTTCCAAACCAATAAAAGAGCATAATCAAGCAAATCCTGTGTTATCCCGGATCACTCTAATTTTAGAACTCATTGAAAATTAGAGCACAATGTGAGGCATAGCTACCTGAATAACAAAGTTGTTACACCAAGGAAAGGCTTGTATCCATCATAAACTTGTAAAACCTAATAAGTTAAAAAAAATATTCATTAGCAAGTATAAATTTTCAACGAGATATCGCACCAAATTTCATGTCTACAAAACATGGCATTTCGCTTTGCTTCAATACTTACTCCAACTTCGAAATCTGTTCTAAGTTTGATGAACTGAGGCGAATGTGGAGAAGCTAAACTTTCATCATAAGTTGCGTTTGTCAGCTTCAGTGTCAGGTTAAATACGGTGCCTACAACGAGGAGGAAAATTTTGAGACCAAACATTGTAAATTTGACTTGATGCATGAATTGTGTGATAGGGGTCAAAACCCTTACAATTTAGAAAACTTACAGACATGCACCATTAAAATCATTCCCGGTGAGGGAGTTCAGTGCCTCAGATTTTAGACTACGCTTTCCATTTTTTACTTCCAAAAATTACGCTTAAATATAAATTAAAAAACAAACATAGACTGGGAAACGAACATGTTTATGGGCTGTTTCCTCTGAAGAAATTTAAAATCAAGATTTTCAGAGACCTTACAGGGTATTAGAGTGGTTATCTGGAAGTTTGGAATGCACATAACATAACGAACATGTTAATCTTGAATGTAATTCAGTCGACTTACACTGCAGCGTGTTAGGATCCTGTGGGGGTGGCTTGGGTGGTGTTGGGGATCCAGTGGGTTTGCCTGTACTTGCGGGCTTCGTTGTCGGTGCTGGGGCTATATTTTCAAACATATATATTTCATATTAGTAACACCCAAGGATCCTACATCATAGCGGAACTTTTAACGTAAGAAGTACATTATTTTCCTACATTATTTTACTACAGTTATGATAGGTTGGATCGAGAACGTAACTACCTTAATATGGCAAGATGTTGTTTCCCGGCCAAGGCGAGAATTTCATATCTTAGCCTGAACATTCCTTTGTCAAGGTTGTTCTAATTACATTTTTTAACTCTACGACGCAATGCGTTCAACTGAGAGGCATATGATTCATGTACATGTATGTGACGCTAAATTTGCTGAACTAAATAAATTATTTGATTTTGTGTTTTCAAATCGCTACTATCGCTAGGTTTTAAACAAGAGATTATGATTTGAAATTATTGTCTGTAATCATCAATTTGACTCAGCGATGGAATATTCTGGCTTCAAAGTTTTTGCAGCTGACCTTTTGAAGCTTTCTACATTTCTCATTTTTGTTCGTTTGGTTATTTTTGAAATACATTCCGAAGAACAGAGTACATTGTTTAATTATACGAGTTGGTTTTGAGGTTGACAACTTTTGTCCAACTCTCCTCTTGAATTCTCAATTTCGATATTATTTCTATTATACTCCCAGGCCCCGTAACAGCAAGGTCAGCGGTTTAACTATTAGATATCAGTCCAGATAATTTTCCAATGTTTGTTGCATGTAGTTAATTAGATTTGAAACTAGTTTGAAGAGCTATTTTAACGGTCCATTATGACTCATTAGTTTATTCGACATATCTTCTTTAAAGACAATTGAAACGCCAGACTGTTAAGACTTCGTTTGTTATCTAGAAATTGAAATTGTAACAAGTAATTGTTCGGAAAACAGAATCTTTCTTGTGCGTTGTGTGAGAAAATTGCTGTTTCACGGTCACAGGACCCTTAGTTGCTCGTAAGAGTTACTTTTGATTTCTTGCAATCGATTTAGTTTTTCCTCTATGTCTCCAAATCAAGCTCACTTACTTGATGCCGCACTGCTTGGAGAAGCAATGTATCCCAACAAAAGTAATGCACAGCATACGTAGAACTTCTCGCCCCTCATTGCTTGAAGATTGCTGTAGGAAACAAAAGGAGAACTTCAGAAATAAGTTGGCTTACGATGCAGAGAGATTTTCATCATCAGAAATGTTAGATATGACCTCTAGTCCTTGTTCAGGTGTTAACGTTAAATGACACCTTTTTGTGGAACAAATGTGAACAATCGATCCACAAGCACCACGGTGCTTTGACAAACCAGAAAGCTTCAGGAATCGATGGAGAGTTTAACCGGTACCTGACAACCCACCTCTATACGTCTATTCTTAGTTTTATACTAAAACTAAATTGTCATCTTTTTTATTAGCAGAATGAATGAGCTTTCCATCCCGAATGCTCCTGACAAGGTTTTAAAACTACGAAATGAAAAAGGAGAAATTTTCCAGCAGGTTTATCTTCAGATGTAATGACTTCATATGAAAAATCCATCAAAGAGATTTAAAACGGATTTTGTTGTTCACCAAATGGTCCTGACTTGAACTTAAATTGATTCTTTTTTCCAGTTTAGGTACGATCATATTAAAAATATATCGAAAGGAATGTTAGATCCGTAAATGAGACGATAAAAAAGCCAAGTCCTCAATCACTTCGAATTTCTTCATCGGAACCGCGAACTTAATTTGCGTTGAATACTTCACATAAAAATTATCAAAGCGGTTTTGTGATCTGCAGCAAGTTAATAACAGGATTCGTGACAACAATTGATATTTTCTCGCATTAAACAGGGATTCTAAATATCTTAAAAACCCATACAGTTCATGTACGACTACCAAAAAATCTGTTATATGTGTTTAGTTGGAATAGGTTAAAAATACTAGAAGAGCAAAAATGGTGTTTCATTCGCATACAAATAAATAATTAGTATTGAAGCAGTTCCTTCATTTGGCATAAGAACTGATACTGAAGTTGTTTGATTGTAACCAAATGAGTTTTTAATGAAAGCAAAGTGCTGTGTTGTGATGATCGCACCTGTTGAGACTAGATTTTCTTCAAAACAAAATAATTTTGTTTGAAATGATTATATTAGTTCATTCTGATATAACTTTACATCACAGCCTGATCTCAATGAACGTTATGATTATTTTACATTCAAAGACCAGGCTTATTGACAATTATTGCACGGTTACCCTGGGTTCAGTGAATATCAAAATCAGACCCGGAAAAAAGATCTGTCCGGTCGATGTTTTTGTTAACGCAACCTGCTTCCTTTGCCGGTCAAGGACCATGAAAGGTTAACTTGCATCGTGGAATCTTCTTGAAAAGGGACGTTAATTTTTCTACCTGAAAAAATCAAAAGAAGTCAAATCAAATGTACTTACGGCGTTGCGATGTTCCCTATTCGTTCGGATTTCGGAAATAGAATTAACTTTAGTGGCTTGTTTACAATAAGCCAAATGTTGATAGAATGAGAGCGGACTATCTAATCAACAACATTCTTTGTTCATTCCGTTATTTGCCCTGAAGTAGAGTTACGCATGCGCAGCGAATTTCTAGCAAAATGACCTTCATCGATTGAACAATGAGGTCATTGAACCAAGAAAAAAGAGTCAACCTGGTTTTTTCTTTTGTTTTTTCCTTTGGTGATTTTACCGTTATTGTTTAGTATATAAACTAATTCTTTTGATCTGCTTGTTTCTTTGTGATCGCTGTTATAAATTTAGAGGGTCACTCGTGCCGATGTCATTTTTAAAATTAAATTATCTTAGTTCTATTATAGATTCTGCGAGTATTACCCTCCACATCTTTTTTTTTATATTGTTTATAGAAATATGTAGATTTGCATTGTTTCTTGAATACTAGAGAAGCCTGCCTTCCTTCCACAGGATGAGTGGAAATTCTACAAGCAGAAAATCACCTAAAAAGACTTAACAGGTGAATGCCTTCTTTCAGGTGGATACATTCAAAACTTGTCAAATGAGACAGGTGGTCACAGCCATCGGTCATAGTTTGGAACGATCACATCACCTTCTCTATGAAAAGGTCACCTAATAAAATTCTACAGAAAGAACGAGATATGAGGTGACAAAATTAAAGACTATCCTCCAAACGATCGGGCCGCGACAACATAATTTTCCAGTGCAAAAAGTGTAATTGCTGCCTTTTGTTGAGATTTTTTATCAAAGGCGAGTTATCGCAACCCAAGAACTGACAGATCATAGAATTGGAGCTGGATGTAATCGTAGAATTCAACCATATCTTTACCTTGTAACAGAGGCTTCAAGAAAATAGTAAGAAAGTAGAAAATGATAGCCAAAAAAATAAAAAACCTATCATAAAAAAGTAGGGTAAATGTTGAACCGTATCAAAGATCGGGTGACGCATGCTGAAAATACGATGCAGATATTGAAGTGGGCAAGTTATATGTCAGATCCTTACTTATTCTTTTCCAAGTTTGAAATGAATTTCGGGGCTCATATTACCATTGAGCAAAACTGGAATATTGCATATCAGGTTGTCTATTATTCTACGCCTAAAGTATGATTACTTTCCCTCCTTGCCGACTGCCAAACATTTCCGGATTTTAAATTATGAGGAAATATTTCTCATTGACTACTTTTGCACTTCCAGGAGTGTTTTTGGCACCAGCAAATCGCCAAGGAAACCTGAACAAGTTTTGATAAGTGTGGGGTACCTGAAATGGCCTCTCAGCATCCCTCTTAGCTATTTAGAAGTAATGAATTGATATAAACTATACACCTACCCCTCCCCTAAACCAAAAACAGTCAAATGATAGCACGTTAGTATTAATGTTGGGTTTAGGAAGGGATTGTTGCGCAGTGTTCAGGTACTGACATTCATCCGAAGTGACAATATTCTCAACAACTTCATGCTAGGGAAGAAAAAAATATTAAAAACAAAGATAAAATTAAATGGGCATTTGTAACCCTCCCCAGGATTCTCTCCTGCTTTGCGTAATAGGGGTGTCATTTATTGCCTTGATCATGGGAAGGGAGGGTGAGGGTTCATGGTACTCTCAATTCCATCTAAAGCTGTAGATCCCGATTTTGTGACCCAGGATCTTTAAGTAAAAATTTGAATCACAGAAGCCCTCAAAACTCTCATTTTGAACTCTTAATAACATTAAGGTTTAAATCGTACATGATTAATTTTTTTTCCTTTTCATTCAATGCAAAATCATGCAATTGGTCTTGGACATGAGAACAGTTTATAATCTCTTGTCTTGGATTGTCAACATACATAAGAGAGTATACTCCTCAGCTGTCAAATTTAACTTAAACAATAATCTTTATCAGATGAAACTCTTTTCTCTATACAAAGGCACGTATACGATGTAGTGACCCTGCTAACACGAAAACGAAAACAATAATTCCCGTATAAAGTAACAAGAAACGTGTTCCTCATTTTTCTAAATTTCGCTTCCTTTAAAACAAATCCTCTTCACAAAGACGTATTCTTTTGCCAGAGCTTTATTTTCACCTTCATCATGAAGTTCACATTATAGAGTGCGAGCGAGTTAGCGCTCATTTACAATTTAAGATAAATTCCGCGGTCTATTTCTTCCTTTAGTCACTCCTCTTAAAAATCCTGCGATAAAAAAAGTCAAACAGATGAGAACAATATATCGGTTAAGAGAAAAATGAGCTGGTATAGCAATGATATCTTTAATCCAGTTTCCAACGAGCAACAATCCTCTGCGTATATATGATCAATGACCCACCATATGCTCCTTCAGCAGTGGAAATGTATCTAGTCCTTTGAGTCAAAATTGTTGATGGCAGTAAATTAATTGAGCAAGAAACTAATAGAATCTGACATTTTTAGTTCATTGCCTTAATTACCTATCGATGGTAAATGTTTCGCATAAAGTAACTTGAAGCATTAAGAGTCACGAGCTTTGCCTCAGGTAGTACACAACAATTTTCGCACCCATAAATAAAACGAAAAAAATTCACTAAACGGCTACTTTTTCTCTTTTTTTCAAATTCAAATAAGCTGTTTAACCGTTCAGTCTACTTTAGCAAAAGACAAGAAATTGATGAAAGTTTTACTGTGATGCTTAACTCTTCTTTCCCTTAGAGGGATTTTCGATTGATTTTTTTTTCTGTCATCTACGCAATTTGCGGTTGACAGGGGCTTTTGACCAGCCTTATGTCAACCAACCTGCTCTTCTCTGGCTACCAGCGGATATTCATGAAACGGATTTCCGTCTTGATATCCATTTTGAACTAGAGGTGACGAGTTAAATTTCTCTTGGCGTTCGAACTTGTTTCTAAGATTGTGTTTTTTCTTGAGCGAGCGACCAAACCTCCTTCCATAATTCGAAACAAGTTGGACTTCTTCAACAGCGATGGCAAGAACAAGAACAACCATGGTTACGACCAGAAGGAAACTATGATTCTTCATTATAAAGTTCTAAAGGAAAAAATCATATTTCTAGTCTTAATAAGTTATACTGAAATAATTTAATGATTTTACCCTAAAAGGCTCTTTGAATGTGGAGCAATCATAACGAAGATGTTATTTTTCTAGAAGTACATGTAAAGTAGCATTCGCCCTCTCAGCTTGACTTTTGTTCCTGAAATACTGAACACTAAAATACGGAGAATGGAGGGAAATTTATGCCGTACCCTTTGATAGTTCTCCACCTTGTCATTTATAGAGTACAGCTATCACTGATCTTATAATACTCATCTTTTCGTATCTGAAACAGGGATGTCTAACTCACTTAATCTTGGACTTTCCTGACTCGCACTTTTTCCAGCTATAGTGGATGGTAGTCGTGCTGTTGTATTCAAGTTGTCACTCGCCCTTCTTTAATATACTAAGGCGATGAAACGGCAGCCATTTGTTGCTTATCGTCGGTCACATCGTCAATTCAGTTACTTCCATCCTGTGTTTTTTGTGTATTTGCTCTGTAAAGGCGTACATTATTCACCTTTTTTGCTAGAACAATGTGAATGTGTCAAACAAAGTTACCACCGCTTGTCTGTTTGTGTTCTCTATCTTGTCATTAATTTTAGGAAATAAGATATGGTGTAAAGGCGCATCTATAGGGCGACCTAACTAATAAAAAATGAATCTGTTGTTTTCTCAATGACAGATTTGAAATTGTTAAACGTGCTTCGAACATTCACGACGAAAATACATGCGAAGCATTAACTGAACTATGTCAAATTCATACAATTCATTTTAGATATATGGCAGAATTTGCTTGCCACTGCCGAAGTGTAACTCTATATTTCTCTAATATCATGCTTGCTTGTCGTTTGATTTGTAAGAAAAAAAACTGGGAGGACAATACCAAGGGATAGATACTTTACTAACAACTAAGGCGTTTTGAAAATTTTGTCCAATTTCGTAGGTCCCTGTTATACTCAGTTAAAAAAAATGGTGTCATTTGCTTTATTAGTACAGACAGTAATCTTTAGTTAGTTGACTCTCCTGAGGTAAGTTTCGTCTCTCAATCTGTTATTAAACAACTTCTTACTGGATCAGAAGATTCTATTGTGTAGGTTTGGGTTCATGAAATCTTTTCCGATTTTAAGGCAGTGATATGTATGCAATTTTGGCAACAAATCTGAATAAATAATAAAAAAAGGAAATATGTTATCGATACTAAGCCCCAAAAAAAGAAAGTCAGAAAATCTTATATCAGTACTATTCCACGAACGCGTTTCTAATAAAGGTCTGGCGTTATTTACCAAGTAATTTCCGGCATACAGAATATCAGTAAATTTGTCTTCTTCCTTCAAAGTGACGTCTGCCCGGTATTAGAGTTTTCCCTATATAAACAGAAGCAACAGCAAAATAATGATGATCTCTTCGGCTTTAAAATATGAATACGATACCAATTTGGTTAATACGTCCGCACATCATAAAATTTGTCCTAATCTAAATTGGTTAAACTAAGGATGTGATCCAAGAAAAATCTAAAAATCACACGTTTTTAGATGCACAACCGATGAAGCTTGAGTAACTTGCCCCTAAGTGACATGTGTTACAGTTGTTAACCTGTTGGACAAATACAGAAAGTTATAACTCGAATAAAACCAATTTTTTAAAATTTATCTCTCCCTTTTTTTAAATTTGCTACTATTGTATCTTGAACGTATCTTTTCAAACACGTCCCGGCATCTTTTTCGAGTATTCAGATTGTTCATATTTAAAAAACCGAAATCTTGAATTCAAACCTTGCAACTTAAACTGTTACCAACATAGGTATCAAATTGTTATGACTCATTAGCGACACTAACATCTAAAAGCAGGAAAAGCAAACTGGATCGAAATTTTGATTCACAGGAAGATAAGTTTGCAAATCATCCCACACATCGCGCGTATTTTCCACGAGGAACACAGCATAAACTTAAATCAGGCGAATTGAGCTCGATGGTTTGTGCAATGTGTCGGAAAAAAGCCGGACACGTGGACTTTCTTCTATATCGGCCGGGCTGTGTCGTTTCGTAAATTTGGAGAACCTTTTTTGAGAGTTTTAAAGTTACTTCAAATCAACGCATATAGTGAGCCGTATCTTACAGAAAATCTAAAAGGAAGCCCATTTCGTGCCAAAGCTAACAAGAGATATTAATACTTTTTCAAATAACCACCGTGATATCCGGCTACATATCACGCCTATGCAAAATAACATCTCTACTATTCTCAGTTAGTGAAATCGTTTCATTTAGCGCTGAGCAAGTGCTATTTTTACATTTGGTAAAAAACAAAACAAAAGATAACAAACAAAAGAAATAAAAAAAATCAATACTTTTAAATAAATTTTTTATTTCAGATGTCAACACAGTTGAATTAGCTTTCCTTCTGAGTCTTCACCTTTCAGTGTTAGGGTGAGACAGAACAAACCCAACATCCATACACGAGTTTGATGAGTAAATCTGCAATTCACTGAACTTACAATACTAAATCTTTAAATTCCACGTTCGTAGTTTTAAATGATTAATTGCTCAATACTCGAGTATCTACAATTCCACGGAAATAACTAAGGAATCGTAAAAACAGCGATCAGCTACAGAAAGCCTCGATGAATCTGGCAGCCATTCACTTCAAAAGCATAGGAGAAAAAACAAATTTCAATATCGAAGGATCCCCTTTTCAATTTAGACGTTTATTCAAATTACGGTTCGGTAGTTTCTTCGTAGAGAAAACTAATATGATATATAAAAATAATATTGTGCGCCAATGCTTTATAAGCTTAGTAATGACATGTTTGGATAGAGGAACATCATTGAATTTTCATTTCCATGTTCCCTTGATTAAAACTTTGTTTCAATTTTCTTGTCAAAGCTTTCGAAATCAGGTTCAATTGCCTGAGCCCGGGAGAAACAAATTGCAAAATTATCCCCCTTTTCATCAAAGTCCGGAAATATTACTGGCCAGCTGTTTTAAGAGAATGTAATTTACAGAATCTCGTTATCAAGGAGCTTTCTCATGAATAATTTGAAGATTTACTCTCGCAAGCATTGGATCGCTGTATGGAGACCCATAAGACAAGTTGCAATTATACAATAAGAGATGTTTCCCTCATTCTTTTATTTTATCTTTACTTTATTTAAAAAAAAGCATTATTAGTTTATCAAAAATTTTACAGATTACTTTCGATCCGTCATAATAGCGGACGGACAATTAAGTAAAAATTTACCGATCCACACTAAAAAATAGTATACTTCCTCACTTGAACTTCAGTTGAGGCGGACTGCACGGACATGAAAAAGAAAACTCAGCCGATCCAAAATTAAACCAAAAGCCAACCAAATGCGTGTTCAGCGAAATGACTATATTACATTTTTGATAATTACTTTTGGAGGAAAGAGATTCAACCATCACAGAAACTCTTGCTCTTTGTTATTCAAATGTATCAACGCCCACAGCAAATCCTTTTGGCGCGCGAGTCATTTGGAGTGGAAAAAATTGGGCTTAGATATTTGTTGTTTACTTCATTCGGATTATGAGGACAAACAAAAAGGCTACTATAAACAGTTAAACAATACGACAGTTATTAACTCATCCGATCATTTCCTAGGTTGGGGTTCGTAATGATGTGAATTTGAAAAGTGGCCGTTTTCTCGAAATAACAAGGAAAAATTTTATGTGCTCGTTTCAAAAGTTTATATCCGGTAGTGAAACAAAGCTGTATACTTTGAAAAAATATATTATCTACATATGAAAACAAATTGCCCGAACGGTTTCTACATAATGCGGATTTGTCTAGAACAAATTTACTGCAATTGACTTTTCAGAGTGTAAACCGAAAAGACCTTGAAACAGAAACCTCTGAACCGTTAGGTAAGATTTCGCATTTTTTTTTCAGTTCTTGTAATTCCCCTATCCTTTTTTTGAACCGCTCGTGATAGTTAGCGCAGGAAGCGAAATCTGAAAAACTTGTCAGCTCACGAAATCAAAAAATATAAATAAGAAGCTAGTTATGATTTCGTGAGAGCCAGTCGGATTTCTTTTATCAGCAGATCTTTTTCTTCTGATTTTTAATTTGCTAGATTCTTTAATTTGGAAGTTAGGTTAGATTTTGATTGAAAGGTAACATATAGATAACAGATTTAATATAGCAAACGGTAGTCAATCAAGATTTGTGTTTATGTCTTCGTTGTCTTTTTTAAAAAACGCAAATTACTGTTTCGGTCTCATTCTTTTACCGGCGTTCACCTATAAAATGTTGGAACTGTTGTTGAGCCAGGGCATAACTCAGGTTGATAAGTGACAACGTCCTGTTAACTCCTCGGACGTTTTTCCTTCTTCTACACCTATTCTAGTACATTTTTATCCATTCGACGACCACGCTAATAATTTACCATCTTTCCTAATCTATTTCCAAGCACGCATGACGCCTTCGAAACTTCTTATTCTAAAATTGTCAACCTTAAACCCTAAGAGATGAGCTCTTTGTAGCTCAGTGATTCACGATCGGATCGAAATGCTCGAATTCGATTACCTCTGGTAAGATCAGATCTTTTTTTGCTGTCTCGCGCTCGTGATAAAGGTGCTCTTTCTACTTGACGAACTATCTTAAATATAACATTTGAGTTGATTCTAGGTATCAGTCACAGCTGAACGAAGTAAAAAGCCACGAAAATGTTTTGATCATGTTCTTATAGAGATAACTCATGTATGTGGTTTTTGAGGCAAGCAGCTCTCGTAGCAATTTCCAAAGTGCGTTCCGGCGGTACACTATCTTCTATGATTGTGGAATGATGGGCAATTGAACTGTCATTATCTCGTTTCTTTGTAAAGCTTAAAACTCGGCCAATCACCGAATTTTCACAAGATAAATAATTGTTTCTCACCTTTGTTCTCTTTTAGATACTGATCATGAAGCACTCTGTGTTCTGCGTTGTCATGCTAGCCGTTCTTCTTTCGACAAACATCTTCCACATGGTGGAATGTTCTTATCTAAGGTTCGGTCGATCAGTGACGAAGAGAAAACTTCAAGATCGAAACAGGATCCAGGCTGAAACCGAGAATGCAAAAACGCTGAACAACCAACGGAAAATCAGAACCGAAGTTCTGGACAACGACGACTACTGGGAAAAATACAACAACTGGTAAGTTACGAAACGTTAGCGGTGGTGAGTATTTTTAAAGATGTTTCAGTGAAAGCTGGCAGGTCGGCTAGACTTTTATAACTCGAGCTCACCACTTTTCCCATGGTTATTGCAAAGGCACCATTATGTAGAAGGTCTGAATGAGCAGCCAAAACTCGTCTTCTTAGATACTGTTAAAATGGATCAGGGTGATATCATTTTGCCACATCATTTTGTCGTTTTTAACAATAAAAGCTAAGTTTTTCGTTTGTCTCACGATGTAGTCACCTGTGATGTAGACCGCTGACGAAAATTTTTTTTTCTATTTCTTTCTTTTAGAAGATGAGGAGTGCAAATTTCCCTCCAGATCAAGAGCTAACCTTTTTCTTTTCGTTAAAGTAGTGGTGTCCAAAATATACGAATAAAGATAACTCCTCAATCTCACATTTTTATGTTACTTTTTACTATCGTTTCGCATCGTCCCTACTAGCTTTCTTGATGGCTTCGCACCAAAATTGTATCGCGGAATAACTGTCGAACATTTAACGGCTCTGGTATATAAGAAG